CATGGTTTGTGCCCCGTTACTGCTGATGACCCTCGACTAGCTTTGCGCAAAGCTTAACTGAAACAGACGAACGAACAAACTATCGTAAAAAAAAAGACTCATTACTGACTGTTACTTCCTTGTTCAATTGCTGGTAAGAGAAGGTACTTCAATTATGTTTGAATGGTTTGATTTATTTTTATCGTATCCATCTTTTTCGGGTTAGCCGGCTAATTTTAAAGTACTCATATGTGAATTAGAGCTTATCCTTTAATGTCATACAATACAATTAATAAAAAACATTTTGTAAACGTTAAATGAAGTAAGGATGGCAGGGACAAAAACAAGAATATAGGGATGATACAGCTATACATGTATCATTCCTACACGAATTTCAATATCCAAATTTAATGTTGCACTGTAAAGTGAGAGAGTACGAAATGGTTACGAGGTCGGTCAATTCGGCTGACCTTGTAGCGAGAGCTTGTAAAAATCTCTAATAATCAAGACATGTTTTGATTCAACTTGTTTTTCCTTGTACGTAAGTCCAAGACTCTTAGTTACACTACATTAATGCCTACCCTGACATGACCATTATATTATGATAAACAAACTGCATACCAACAGTCGGGAATATGTAACTTTCAACTACAATAATATTAAAGTCAAGTACGCATTTTACAATGTAACATTAAATTTTAATATTGAAAGTCATGTAGGGATGATATATGTATAACTGTATCATCCCTATATTACTTGTTTTGTGACGTTTTTCTCCTGACTGAAAGCTAGTGTATTATATGAATGTGCGTGTAATAAAATTTAATATTATGTGTATTGATTTTTTTACTCCTTCACTTCATACATAATATTCGGGTTGGCTCCCTAAAGACACCGACTGTATAGCATACAAAGCATTGAGTGTTCTACATGTTACAGCCACCTAATGTTCATCTATTATTGGCTGGAAATTCCTGTTTCACCCTGTACTTAAGATTTTAAAGGAACACCAGATTTTTGTAAAAAAGCTAACTTTAAGGGGTAATGATAATATCGTTTACACTACAATTATGATTTTTTTTAAATTACTGCTAGTTATTACGACTAAGCGATGATATTGTACACTACCCAGAAAACACAAACAGTGCATTTAGGTTTAAATTGACGTTAGTTATAAAGTAGTTGTAGAGTTATCTCGACTGAAACAAGATGAAGAAAGATGAACCCAGAAAACACACACAGTGGATTTAGGTTTAAACTGACGTTAGTTATAAAGTAGTTGTAGAGTTATGAACAATTTGGTGGGTTGCTCACTTTCCGGTTTGGTATCTTAGCGACGGTTTCTTGTCTTGTTGGGTAGCGAAACAAATGAAAGTGAGTGGCAATCATCTTTTAAAGTAAAACTTTCTGTCATTGATGATTCTGTAGCGTGCATATTGAGTACCTAGGCTACACCTACATATAGAGTCTACCGACTCTATAATAATACAATATTTCCAGTAAGAAATACACTAAATAATGATAATAAGGCCCATTTTAAAGTTCTTTATTCATATACGAGCATGATTAAAAATAATCAGACTTTTATATAATTTTATTGTATATAAAATGAAGCTTCTAAATAGTGTGGCTCCTTTGAAACATTTCGACAAAAACAATTGCTGTGATATAAAAACGAAAGTGTCTGTAAAGCTCATTTAATAAAAAGTCATTTCATGCAAAATATTTTACCCGCGCATTGAAAATGTATACTCGCTCCAAAAACCTTTCATACTACATTTCAACAAATTATATCTCCACCTGTCTTATAATCCAATTTCCTCAAAATAAGAAAAAGATAGTAGATTACCTAAGTAGGTGCTGTTTAAAGTTTTAATGTGTAATAAGATATTGTCTGAGCACGTGTACTAGCAAATATCTCGAAGGCTTTGTGTGTGTTAAATATAAATAGGCAAAATACAAAGAATTATATAGAAAGTTCGTTTAAAAATATAAGTATAACTCTGTAATTTTGATATCTGAGAAACTGATATCCAGGGTATAACAAGTGTTAATAATCTATTAATATTATCTAAATTAATGGTTGAAGTTTGAGATTAGAGAAACGTGTGTTTGACTCGTTTTGCAATAAAACAAAGTCTACTTGCTTCTTCACAGATATTTTGCTTTACAGAAAACTAACTTGCACCGATCTAAGCCTTTATGTTCGCTTTCATCACCATATGCCTGACAGTTGAAGGACCCTGTACGAATATAACTTATACTCTCACGACATTATAAGTACGAATTTCGTCACGATGTCGACGAGATCTATTTCAAGATGCAGTGAAGCAAGTCCATAAATAGAAAATACATGTCCTTAGTTTGCTGCAGATCCACGTAGGCCGGTAAGGCAATCACTGATTGGCAAGTCCTTAAATTAATCAGGAAATGTCACAGACCTACTTCTGACTCATTTCATAAGCTGTATTATTTCCTATAGATCATTTTTCAGACGGTTTTGCTATGATTAGTGTCTGGCGAAAAGCTTCAGCAGATATTTCCTTTACAACATCTCAACCAACAATTGTTCCAGTTATAAACGCTATTTTCAAGCTTTGAACAACTCGACTTTAAAGATCTACATATCTACATGTGCCGATGTTTCCGTTTATCAACGTTATATTGTAAGATCTGTGCAAGAACTCAGCTAACAGATGTTTCCGCATATAAAAGCTTATTATCATAGAAACTAAGACGATGGAAGAAACAGTTTCAAAGTCTTCCCGGTACTTGAAATATACATACTTCTTATAAAGCTTAATTAGTCTAAGTAATAGTACCTTAATTGGTAAAAGTACTGTTAATATATAGTCCCCTGGTAACGAATTATGGAACTACATAACACACGTGTTTACGAAGTCCATAATTTTAAGAATTTCTGTTGATGAAGAAACACTTGAACGTTTAGTTTCAAGATGTGTTCATGTTAGCACTTCTATTCAATTGTACATTCACATATATATATGTAATTTTAAAATATGCATTTATTTAGTTTATAAGCTCTAGTTTCAAAGGTTCCTTTTCCTAAATGCATTAAGCTTAATAACAAATTAATGAGTAAAATATTTTAATATAGAAAATTCATGTAACAAGATATGCTTGAGTGAAATTTTACATGAAAAAAAATACAAGTTGTTTTCGTGGACTAGTCGACAAATAAGCGAAATAATTAATTTGTGAATATTTTACGATGGTGCTTCCAGTAAGCAATCAAATTCACCTACTTACGTCACGTATTTCGTGACGATTCAACGTATTTTCAGCTACAGTTGTGCACTCTTCCAACTTATTTAAGTGCTTCTAATCTACACATATTCCAGTAAGCGTGTTTAGAGTACATTACTACTTCTTAGCCAATACACGTGTAAAGTGATTACAGAAACAACTCAGAACCAAGTATCGTTGGAAAAAAATGGCGATTTGTATTTCATGAAGCTGAAATAAGTAAAGCATTAACGATAATGCTCAAATTCACTTTCAGTGACAAACAACTGAAAGAAATCTACTTTCTGCAGATCAACATGACCAGCGTTATTGTTGGATAAAGGATGATACAATAACTGGTTGTATTGTTGGATAAAGGATGACACAATAACTGGTTGTATTGTTGGATAAAGGATGATACAATAACTGGTTGTATTGTTGGATAAAGGATGACACAATATCTGGTTGTATTGTTGGATAAAGGATGATACAATAACTATTTGTACTGTTGGATAAAGGATGACATAATATCTGGTTGTATTGTTGGATAAAGGATGATACAATAACTGGTTGTATTGTTAGATAAAGGATGACATAATATCTGGTTGTATTGTTGGATAAAGGATGACACAAGATCTGGTCGTATTGTTGAATAAAGGATGATACAATAACTGGTTGTATTGTTGGATAAAGGATGACACAATATCTAGTCGTATTGTTGGATAAAGGATGATACAATAACTAGTTGTGTTGCACTTATTCATACAAACCAATCGGCGTACGATAACACCAGAGTTTATTTCAAGGCTTGTCTGTTTGTTTGTTTCAGAAGTTTGCGCAAAGTTACCCAAAGATTTATCTGCGCATAGCCGTTCCAAGTTTTGAAGTGACAGACTAAAGAGAAGGTAGCTAATGAACAGCACCCACCACCAATTTCGTGCAATTTCGTCGTCACTCTTATAGCGCATCCGCAGCGCTAAATTGCGAAGTGCGTTTTTGTATCATCGGGATGCGAACCATGCACCTTTGGATTCAAAGATTAGTACACTAGCCACAAGACCACGTCCTCCCCCAGTGTGTTTGAACTTTGTCTTATAACGAAGTTAAAATCCTTTCTTTTATCCGCAATAAATTCTCTACCTGTAAACAACTTAGGAAAGCATGTTGACATTGTTTTAGATTTGTATGGTTTACTGTTTTATTTTATACGGATGACTTTTCTTACGTATTAAAATACACCAGCAAGAACACATAGATCGACTTGAACATAGCAAAACTTCTTCTAAAAGATTATTGTCTTAACTACATTGCTTCAAACCTAATTATTGCGAATCTCCATTTAAAACAGCCTCCAGAAGTATAACTCTCAATGTTCCTCTACATGCCGAAGAAATATCCTGGATCTGTTATCAACTCCATGATTAGTTTAGTTATTTTAATAATCAAGACATTTTTCAAAATTAATTTAGCACTATTCAAATAATGCACTGTCTTTATGTCGTAAGAATTTGTATTAAGTGTATTTTCCTCCTTGGACTGTATTGCGTAGATTTATAAGCACTGAGAAAGAAAAAAACGTTTTGCTATTTTTGCAAACTAATATACTCTGGAACTAAGAATGACTAATACACTCTGGAATTAAACGTTTAGATAAAAAACAATACTTATACACATTAGTATTCTCCTCTTTATATCGGATGTGATGCTTTAAAGATATATGTATATTAACAATCATACATTCAAAAGTAAACAAAAGTAAAAAATAGTTTGCTTACCATGATTATGGTAATTTTTACTGTGAATATACAAATATATATATATATATATATATATATACAATATATTCAAGAGATATAGTAAACAGTCCTACTTCACTCCTGTTAGATTTTGTTTTATTCCAATATGAAGAATTCACCACTTTACGCGCACTCCCTATAGAAAGACAACACTTGAGTGAATATTCCTGACTGGAGCACTCTTCATTACGCCATCAGACGATATTCTAACTTTACTAGGACAAAAGAAGAACACACAGACAGTACGCTGATTGGTCTCCGCTTGATTCACTTCTCAACTTTCAGAGCTATTTTTGAGAGACGCGGTGGTAAAGCTTTTCTTGCAATGTGCTCAATATTGGTCTGCAGAGTAGTGCCCTCTTGTGCTGACTATCAAACTAAAAAATATACATTTTGCTGAGTTTTTTCCAAACGTTTGTTACAATCAAGTACACTTTACGTAGAATCTTCATACTGTCTAAACTTCAATATAATATGTAATACCGAATTCCTATAAAACGCAATAATCCACAGTAGCATTCTTAAAACGAGTACGGATAATGTCTTTATCTTAATAGCAACCTTATTTTTAACCTTCATAGCGGTATGTCTATCAAGTTCGAGAATAATGAGTGCGTTAATGCAAAAGATTAATCTCATTTTATAGAACGATATGCATAAGTTAATACAATGGCTTGTTGACGTGGATGCGAACCATGACTTTAATGACGACAAAAATATTTAACACCAATGTATATGTATATATTGATAATAAAATTAGAAAAAACTACCTTTACACGACATATAATTATAAGATAACTTTTATTTCAGCCGACGTTTCGCCTTTGTGGCTTCTTCTGGGCTAATACTAGAAATAAACGTTCTATTGTAATTATCTGGAGTTTAAAAGTCGTGTTTTTTAACTTTACTATCAAAACATATATATATATATATTTGGTTCATGGCGAACTCCTGACAGCCCGCTAGGATAATGCGCTAATGTGTGTCAATCTCCCAAGACAGCTTACATTAAGTCTTTTTTTATTATTACTTGGTCTACTTAAATGTAGCCTTGAAAGCATATTTACGTACACTGGAGTGTTTGTTTCTAGTTAAGCGTAAAGCTACATAATGGGCTGTCTATGCTGTGCCCTCTACGAGAATCGAACCCCGTTCTTTAGCGTTATAAGCCTTCAGACTTACCGCTGTACCACTGGGTGCCAATGGAGGACCTGGGTAAAGTCTGAAAGATAGGTGACCTGAGATCGAGTTCACCGTATTTCGTTTTACTCAAATTCAGCATTATAAAGCTATCAACATAAAAAATTTGTATAAAAAACTCAGAGAAAATTTCTAAGCCATAAATACTATAAGCCGCAAAAACAGTTAAAACTGACAAAAAATTAAGGAAACTAACCAGCCACAAATATGACTACTCCAAAGCCTAATTTTGTGAAGATACTTTTACAACATTAAAAGTTATAGCATGCCAACTCTGGTGGTTAAAATGTTGGTCATTTTTGGTATTTTGGGTATTTTGGTATTTTCGGTATTTGTAAAGCAACAAAGCACATGGTTCACATTTTTCCATTGTTAACATAACAGCAAAAACTGAGAGAGTAGTATGCAATCAAGGTCATCAGAATGAATACATCGACAATACAAGAAGTAGTCCTTGCAAAGTGCGATGAATCATCAGTATGTCTAGTAGACTAACAAGGGACGATACTAATCAAATGCTTCTAATTTTTTGAGACTATCCACTGGTATTTCTATATATTTTTGCTATACAATCTCCAAAATGACTTTTCTTTTGAAACATTACTTTTCAATTGGACTTGTGCACTAATTCAAATATTTATACATTCTTTAGTTACGCATTTAGATATTTTTCACATCTGTTTATAAAAACTTTGGCTATTTCATAGCTTTTATATCAAACGTTCCTTTGGTTTTGTCCTCCAAATACCTCTTACTAAACAGGGCAGTATGTCTGCGGTAATAATCTTTCGAAAACTCTCCAAATACCTCTTACTTAGCAGGGCAGTATGTCTGCGGTAATAACCCTTTTGAAAACTCTCCAAATACCTTTTACTTAACGGGGAGTATGTCTGCGGTAATAACCCTTTTGAAAACTTTCCAAATACCTTTTACTTAGCGGGGAGTATGTCTGCGGTAATAACCCTTTTGAAAACTCTCCAAATACTTTTTACTTAGCCAGGCTCATACCTCTTGATCTTCTTTTAATTTACCCCCAGTAGCACAGCGGTATGTCTGCGGACTTACAACGCTAGAAACCGGGTTTCGATACCCGTGGTGGGCAGAACACAAATAGCCCATTGTGTAGCTTTGTGCATAATTACAAACAAAGAAAATGTCTGCGGTAGTAGCCCTTACGAAAACTCTAAATAGTGTTCAAAAAGCATTATCTTTGTTTCATCAGTCCATTGCACATTGATTCATTCGTTCTGTCAAATTTTATAATCGTTTTTCTTATAGTTGTAAACGTTTATCCATGTTGGCACGTGAAATATTAAAATTTTTCGAATATAATTTTTCCACTACTCCACTCTTTTGTAACTGCTGTCAGATAATTATATTTGCTGAATTTAATTTCTTCTTTATTTGGCTTTTTCTTTTTTTTTTTTTGTAGATTATTTTTGAATCAATATTATGTTGAAATTCTTTAAACAAAATGACACTATCGTTTGTCATGAGTGTAGATCTTGTTTACACATAGTCCGTGCATCCTATATCGTTAATACAATTCTCAGGCCACTCTGCTGGATCATATTTGAATTGTGATATTAGCACTAAATTAAACTAGTTGTACTTCCGCAGGGTCTCCGAAAGTGTTCTGTTTCAAGAGTAAATAAAA